AGTTGGGACTGCCACCAGCTCTCCATCCTCGTGGTTCCGCTGGCCGGGCCAAGAGAGGATGGAGGGATGGGAGTCCCAGGGAGTCCTAGGAGATCCTTGTAAATAATGGGGTGGGACTGTTCTGAGTGATCGCCCGAGCACTTAAAGCTCCAGAGTCCCATTCTTCCTGGATGGAGAAGTGGTGTAGGTGGAGGTGCAGAGGGGATTTCCTCCTCTCCTTTCTCCTGTCGAGAATTAACACCTCTCCACAGCCTTCCCCTCCAGAACACCAGCCAGGGAGGGGAGAGGAAGGAGGTCACAGCCAAGAAAACTACCCTGTGACGACTTCCCTCCTTCCCGCCTATGTGAGCCATCCTGAGATGTCTGTACAATAGAAACCAAACCAAATGGGCACCCTCGGTCTGTCGCCGGGGGCAGGTGGGGAGGGGGGTGGGAAGAAGGGATGTCTGTCTGTCGATCCCCCTCCCCCTCTCCACTCTTTACCCACAAAGGCAGAAGACTGTTACACTAGGGGGCTCAGCAAATTCAATCCCACCCTTACCAATTGAGCCAAACCTAGAAACAAACATGAAACATGCGTAGTGAGAGACAAAACAGAGGAGAGAAAGAGAGCATGAGAGGGAGCGAGACAGGCCACCAACACAGAGGAGAGAAAACAAAAAATAGCAAAAAAAAAAAAAAAGCAGTTCTTTATAATTTAATATTCTATTTTAATAAAGGCGTTTATTACCGTATAAATGTAGCAAAGAACCTGGGCTAATATGAAAAAAAGACTTTTTATTAGGTAATTTATTATATGAAAAGGATATTTTATTTTATGATAAAGTGATCCTTAAAAAAATAAAAAAACTTTAGAAGGTTTAGAATATATGTAGGGAGAGAAGAAGAAAAAAATACATTTGTATTCAGAGTTAAATCTTAAAAAAGTGTTTTTAATATATGTTTGGGTTTACGTTGCTTTTTTCCCCCACTTTTTTTTGGGGAGGAATGTCATTTGCTTTTCTTGGGGGAGCATCCTGGGATGGATGGTGGAGAGAGGAGCTGGGGGAACCTGGTCCCTTCTGGGGTCCTTCCAGTAGATTGGATTTCATTCCATGGGCTCCTCCTCCCCTCTCCCCCTCCCCCTCAGGGGAGCCGGCAGAGCCAAACAAAGAAAGGGATTAACAAGAAAGGAAGAAGCTGTAAGACTGAGGACTGAGGATCCTGGGGTGTCCCCCCCAGCTTTCCCCTGCCCTGTCCCAGGGGCAAGTGAGGAGGGGAAATCCAGAACTGAGGCCTAGCAGGCCTGTAGGAACCCTCAGAGATGTGTGAGATTTAAGAGAACTAGATTTTTTTTTTTTAACCAAAAACAAGAGAGAGAAGAAAAAGAGAAACCGAGGGGTTTAAAAGAAAAGAATACTACAAAATAATAATTATTAATAATAATAATTCAAATTTATTTCATATAATCCTAGAGAGAGAAAGAAACAATTACTAGTTACTTAGTAGACGATATTCAGATAGCTTAAAAGTTTAGTAGCATTGAGGGCCGCTGGGTCCAGTAGAATGTATAAAAGTCGTAAGGAAAAGATAAATAGAGGAGGGAAGTGGCTGAGTCCACCCTGAGTCGCCCCATCTTCACATAGCAGGGTTGGAGCAGGTTGCTAGTTTAAGATTGGGAGTTTCCAGTCTGGTGGGGTTGATTCTGAGAATCCTTGGATTTTTTAATTGTAGGACAAAGAAATGAGGGGTTCATTTCCCAGGGTCTTGGAAAGGGTGCAATGCACACCAATCATCTCAATAAGACAAGGGCTGCGCTGGGGGGCAGCAGAGGAGGCCGAGCACATTCACTTGCACCCCTAGTGCCTGGGCAGTCCATACTCCAATGTGGGATGTCCTCTCCTGGGGCTCCCAAGGGAGGATAGAGACAGCTCAGCTCAAACCCTCCCATGCCAGCTTCCCCCAGGCCTAACAGGAAGTCCTTCTTGAAGTGTGACCTCAGTCCACTTCTCCACAGATTGACTTAGCCTGGGAAGTCATTCCACAAACAGACACATGCACACGTGCTTCTCACCTTCAGAGCTTCAAGAGCACTGAGGGGATCAGTCCCCTACCCCTGTTCCATCCAGCTTTCCATTTAGCTTTGACCTCCATGGCAGCAGTGGCAGTAACAATCTCAGTAACCGTTCTTTAAAGTTGGCTGGTTCTTTACCTGCTTGCAAAGTGCTTTCTTGTCTTATAAAAGTTAGATTCCAAGAAGGACTTCCCACGGAGTGGAGTGGAGACATTGTCCTTGAAGGCCTGGGAGAAAGGCATGCCCATGGGGAAAGGCACAGGGACTTTGGGTCACGCCAGCCCTACCCTCTGCTCCAGTCCACCTCCATCTACGTGTCTAGGTAGGGGTCATCCACTGTGCCCTGGAGTGGGAACATATTGCCCTCCCCACACAAAACTGGGGAGCTTGGCTTCTGCATGTGAGAAATCAACATTTTTAAAGCACTTGCCTTTTACCAACCCCAGCTTGCAATCAGATTGGGCCTTTCGCTCCCATTGAAGGAGGTGGAGAGGCCCCTTGGCTCTCCCTTTGGCAGGAGGAGCCTGCTTTATTACACCAATGACTCTGCCATGCCCCTCCCTGGCCCTAGACCCCAAACACATCTCCCTCTCCCCAATTTACTCTTCTCGCCCCAACTAGGGACAGATTCCCCCTGCTCTTTTGTCCTAGAAACCCCGCTAGTTTGGGATGGTAGCGTCTGGGGTGGGGAGGGCTTCCCCTTCCCCACTCGAGGGTGCGGGTGGGGAAGGGGGGGTGGGTGGAGACAGCCCTGGGGCAGGGAGGATGGTCTCTCCACTGTAGAAAGTAGAGTAGGATTGTGGTCAGACTTAATTTGAGGCATCTAGTGAAGACACGTACAAATCCACCAAGGAAAAAGATTTTAAAAGCAAAATAAAGGCGGGAAATAAAACAGACCCAAGAATAATCAAGTCAAAGTGATGTTGCACAAAATGCAGAGAAACCAAGAAGGGGGAGGGTTAATGTATTAAATGTGCTATTAAGAACTTAATTTTATTAAAAGTACTATTACTTAAGGCTCTGTCTTCCTTCTCTGCATGTGAGTCTGTGCCATCTTGGGGTGAGTGGGAGGATCTGGGTGGGGATTGCAGCTTGGCATTTCCTCTAGTGTAGCTCTGGTCTCCCTACACGCCTGTGAGTAGTGGATGTTTCCAGAGTTCCTTGCCACCCTGCGCTCCCCCTCTGCTCTCCATAGCTCACTGCTCGGGTCTCCAAGCTGTCAATATCTGCTATTTTCTCCATTTACTCCCCTCTCTTCTTTGGAGGTGCAGTCAGGCCTTCTTCCATCCTCACCTGAAGAACGGGAAGGTGGCCAGGCCAACCTGGCCAACATGGTGAAACCTCATCTCTACTAAAAATACAAAAAGTAGTCGGGCATGGTGGCTCATGCTTGTAATCCCAGAACTTTGGGAGGCTGAGATGGATGGATCACTTAAGGCCAGGAGCTCAAGACCAGCATGGGCAACATAGTGAGACCCTGTCTCTACCAAAAATACACAAAATTAGCCGGGCATGGTAACACATGCATGTAGTCTCAGCGACCCTGGAGGCTGAGGCAGGAGAATTACTTGGACCCAGGAGATGGAAGTTGCAGTGAGCTGGGAGATCATGCCACTGCATTCCAGCCTGGGCAACAGAGTGAGACTCTGTCTAAAAAACAAACAAGCAAAACAAACAAACAACAAAAAAAAAACCCACAGGCTGGGCACAGTGGCTCATGCCTGTAATCCCAGCACTTTGGGAGGCTAAGGTAGGTGGATCACAAGGTCAAGAGATGGAGACCATCCTGGCCAAGATGGTGAAACCTTGTCTCTACTAAAAATACAAAAATTAGCTGGGTGTGGTGGTGGGCACCTGAATTCCCAGCTACTCAGGAGGCTGAGGCAGGAGAATTGCTTGAACCTGGGGGGCAGAGGTTGTAGTGAGCTGAGATCGTGTCACTGCACTCCAGCCTGGTGACAGAGCAAGACTGTGTCT